CCCCCCCCCCCCACTCCAGCTGGGGAGAGTCGAACTCAGGATCCAGGCCTTTAAAAATAGTCGGGGAGCCGTCAGAGACCCCTGATCCCTTTGATCCCACGATAAGCAGCGATGCCTTGTTTCAAATGACAGCAAATGAAATTAATGGGGAGCAGGTTTAAAACTAATAAGCAAAAGTTCTTCACACACAGCGTGTAGTCAACCTGTGGAACTCCTTGCCAGAGGAGGCTGTGAAGGCTAGGACTAGAACAGAGTTTAAAGAGAAGCTGGATAAATTCATGGAGGTTAGGTCCATAAAAGGCTATTAGCCAGGGGATAAAATGGTGTCCTTGGCCTCTGTTTGTCAGAGGCCGGAGAGGGATGGCAGGAGACAAATCGCTTGATCATTGTCTTCGGTCCACCCCTTCTGGGGCACCTGGTACTGGCCACTGCCGGCAGACAGGATACTGGGCTGGATGGACCTTTGGTCTGACCCAGTACAGCCATTCTTATGTTCTTATGTTTCCAGAAAACCAAGCCACTTCCCCTCCATCTGTCTTTGTCGTGAAATCGAGGGCGCCCAAGAATGACAAGGTGGCGGCCGCGTGTCTGGCCAAAGGTTTCTACCCCAAGGAAGTCACCATCAACATGAACCCAGGCACAGAGGTGGTATACAACTCCAAGGAAGGAGTTCTCTCCCCCGACGGGAAGTACAGCGCGGTCCAGGTGGTCAAAGTGGGACCCGAGGAAGCGGTGAAGTGCACTGTTATACATGCCAGTCAAAACTTTTCTGCGGAAGACAGTCCATCAGCGCCCGCAGGTAGGGGCATGGTCCAAAGGTGAATTATACCCTTGCCTTCCAGAGACACCTCGTTTCATGGTGAGTCCTGCCCTAATTCAAAGGACCACCGGCCCTACCAAGACATACTCAACAGAGTCCGGGTGGGAGGTTGGGGCCAGATTTTCAAACGTGTTTACGTGCCCAAAGGGACAGAGAGCTGCTCAGATGTATTTTCCAAAGCATTCACGCAGCTCCTTTCCATGCCGATGAGAGTCTCGATTTGTAATGGTTCTTAGATTCCCACTGGGGTTTTAAAAGCAATGGGTGTTAGGCACTGAGACGCTCCGGAAAAGTCCAATTAGGTGCCTAAACTCCTTTAAGAAAATCTCACTCCTGTGACATTTTAAACAGCATCTAATCACCTAATACCCATCAGTCACATAGTCCCCTTTGTCAATCAACCCCAGATGGGAAATACTTCAAACCCAACGTTTCTGGAGTGAAAAATGACCTTTCGAGAACCTGAAAAAACCCCCATTTCATGCGCCACGATGGGATGAGATTTTAATTAAGGCGTTTGCAGAAAATGGTCCGGACAATATTAGACCCCATTTCATGCACCATGATGGGATGAGATTTTAATTAAGGCATTTGCAGAAAATGGTCCGGACAATATTAGCGACACGGGGATTGGAATTCGCGGGAATGAAAAGAGTTGTAGAGCAACAAGGGACTTTTGAGAACTTTTTGGATTCCTTTTCTGATTTGAAAAGATTTCATGATAAAGTTTCAAAAAAGAAACCCGGCTCGGTTTTGAACCCTTAGCCAGGAAACTAACTTCAAAATTTGCCTTTTTCTTAGTGAAACTTGCTTTATATTGTTTCAGCCAGAATTAGCTGAAAATATTTCTCTGATGTTTTAGATTTTTACCGCCTTCTCGTGGATTTGGATGTTGAATTCTTATTTAAACTCCAACTCCATGAAGTTTCTTATAGAAACCAGTGAGACTGGGAGTAGGAGTTTAATGGGAAAAGCACTTTGTTTCATCAAGCTAATTAGGGGTTTTCAACCAGTTTATTTCAAACCCTTTTCTGGGTGAAAAAATAGAAACTTTTTGAGGTATGGATTTTTACAAAACTTGACTTATTTTGCAAATATCTTTGATTTTTAGTAAAAAAACCCAAAATTGTCCCCCTAAAAGTGTTCTGTTCTGAGCTATTTCTATCGGAAAAAAGATCAGGTTTTAGCTAAACTTTTGGGACAGAATTGTTTGTTTTCTGGTTGCTGAACACCAATGCAGATGGGTTGTTTTTAAATGTCTGTTTTTCTGCCGGGGCGGGGGAGGGTCAAATACTTTTGTGACCAGGTCAAAAGTGAATTTCAACCCAATCTTCAGACATTTCCATTCACTCGCTGCTGGGTGGGAGGTTCGCTGTATGGAGCCCCCGTTTCAGCGTTGTTTGAATTGAGATATATTTCCATGTTTCTATCTTCTGAAAGCACCAACCCACCTGCCAGCCGCCAGCCCTGGATTTTGTGAATCTTCCACTTCCAGTTCCACCGCTGAAGGTTAGTTGCCCAAACTAGAAAGGGATCAGAACCGGGAGCCAGGAGAGGACCGGTCCCTGGGATGGGGGTTCCCTGCAGAGATTGGGAAATGGGGTTTCTCAGCTGCTAAATAGATTGGAACGTCTGGGTCTAGAACACGGGGTGGGGGAGGCTCCGTCCGCCGAGCCTCGGCTTTCTGGCCTCCATTCAGCTCCCAGGCCCCTGCAGGCCGCTTTCCCGGGGGGCTACACAACCCTTGGATCGCAGAGGGCAGTGATGGGCCATCTGCGTGTGACAGGCCTTCTGGCTGGGCTGGTGTGTGTGTGTGTGTGTCTGTGTGTGCGTGTGCACGCAGGGGTGTGTGTGTGTGTTTGTGCAGCGTTGTGTGGGAGGAGTATTTGTGTGTGCGTGTGCAGGGTGTGTGTGTGTGTTTGTGCAGGGGTGTGTCTGTGTGTGTGCGCAGAGTGTGAGGGTGTTTGTGTGTGCGTGTGTGCGCATGAGGGGGTGTGTGCATGTGGCGGTGTGTGTGCAGGTTTTTTGTGTGTGTGTGTATTTGTGTGTGCGTGTGCAGGAGTGGGGGGTGTTTGTGTGTGCGTGTGCAGGGGTGTGTATGTGTGTGCGCAAGGGATTGGTGGGTGTTTGTATGTGTGTGTGCAGGGGTCTGTGTGGGTGTTTGGTCAAGGATGTGTGCGTATTTGTGTGTGTGTGTAGTATGTGTGTGTGCGGGAGTGTAAGTGTATGTGTGTGTGCAGGGTTGTGTGTGTGGAAGTAAGTGTGTGTGTGCGTGCATGCGTGCAAGGTGTGTGGGGGTGTATAGGGGTGTGTGTTTGTGTTTGTGCAGAGGTGTGTGTGTGCAGGGTGTGTGGGGGTGTTTGTGTGCAGGGTGTGTGCAGGGTGTGTGGGGTGTGTGTTCTGCCCCAGACTGTAAATTCAGTGCACGCATTTTTGAAGTTATAAAACAAAACCTGCCTATTTCTAGAGCCTGAAATGTCTTCGGGTCCAAACACCAGAGAAACTCTGGAGACTAAAACCTGTTTTGCGCAGAAAAGCCACCTAGCAGCTCTGGCCTCGTCTCCAGCGATGAGTCTGCCGGGTCTCAGCTCACCCGCGGGCGAGAGCCGGGGGGGTTAGGGTTTCTCTTTCCTTGTTAGCGATACCAATGAACCCCATGCAGGAATGTGGCCTTGTGTGTCTGTGCGCAGTGTCTCTGTCGTCAGGCCTCTCCCGCCCTGCGGCCTAGTGTTTCTCTTTCCTTGTTTGTAACTGGCCTGTGCATGTTGCTTCATCTCCCTCTTGTCCGTCCGTCGGTCCCTCCATCCCTCCGTCCGTCCGTCCGTCCGTCCGTCCATCCCCCTCCGTCCGTCCATCCCTCCATCCATCCGTCCGTCTGTCCGTCCATCCCTCCATCCCTCCGTCCGTCCCTCCATCCCTCCATCCATCCGTCCATCCCTCCGTCCATCTGTCCGTCCATCCGTCCATCCCTCCGTCCGTCTTTCTTTCTTTCTTTCTTTCTTTCTTTCTTTCTTTCTTTCTTTCTTTCTTTCTTTCTTTCTTTCTTTCTTTCTTTCTTTCTTTCTTTCTTTCTTTCTTTCTTTCTTTCTTTCTTTCTTTCTTTCTTTCTTTCTTTCTTTCTTTCTTTCTTTCTTTCTTTCTTTCTTTCTTTCTTTCTTTCTTTCTTTCTTTCTTTCTTTCTTTCTTTCTTTCTTTCTTTCTTTCTTTCTTTCTTTCCCCGATATAAAGTTTCTTTGTACAGCTCTCTCATCGCCTGTCATGACAGCAGACACAGAGTCATTTTCTCCCGTAATTGCCCTCACTACAGTCCATTTTTTCTAGTCTCACACTCCGTACACCCCATCTGTTTGGACTGCGCAGATACATGACCTACATGCAGGATCGCACACATAAGGAATTGTACATCTGATGCCCTCCCCCATATCTGACAAGGCCAGCCCTGAAAGGCATGCCAAGACGGCACCTTTCCCTAGACTAGAAATCAAGGCACAACTCACTATAAATTGGTTTCCACCAGTGTTCCCTGTAAGCTGGGCGCTTGTGGGACTGCTCTGGCGAGTCCAGTGCTGCCCAGCTGATTAGCAGAGCGCCCTCAGCGTGGTTTTGTTTCTACTAGTGGTACACATTCACACACCTCAGTGCATATACAAAATTTATTCCACACACCGATGGAAAAAAATCCGGGGGAACCTTGGCCACCAGCAAGAGGGACCCCAGAGCGCTGGGCCTCGTGCGGCCTGCGACGGGGCTAACCACAGGCCTGTTGTGTTCCTAGGTTGTGGCGCCTGACCCAGCTGAAGAAAGGCGCCAGGGACCAGTGGCGGTGACACCCTTGGGGGCAGATTCCCTATTAGCCCCCTGCCTACTGCCCAGTACACCCTGGCCCCTTCCCTGAGTGCTCATGTCCCTTCCCTACCTTTTTAGTTAGTGACCCCACCCCCACAACTTAAAATGATTCATTTTTCTGTTCACTTTGGCTTTCCTTGCTGGTTAGCGCTGTCTCTTCCCGGCAGGACGAGCGCACTCGCTGCTTTCCTCCACAGGCCTCTGTGCCACAGGGGTATCGAGAAGGAAGTTTCCCTCCCAGTGTCACACTGAGGCTTCTAAATCCCTTAGGCAGATTTGCAAAACCTTAGTTGGCTCCCCCCCATAGCACTGCGGAGTGACTGCTTAGCACATCTATCTGCAGCGGAAGCGTTTGATCATCTGAGTGGAGAAGATTGGGACCAGGCCTGGGGCGGGGATCAAGCGGTACCACGCCTGGGGCGGGGATCAAGCGGTACCTGGCCTGGGGCGGGGATCAAGCGGTACCACGCCCTTGACTTCAACAGGGCGGGCGGGGGTCCACCAGGAGCGGCTGTCGTGACGGATTTTTCTCACGTTACTTGTAAGAGCGTTGTCATTCCCCCCGGGGAGCTGGGCACATGTGGGCCCAGGGGCTGTAGCTTTCTGTGCCTATTACCGCAATAATAAAGGAGATTCTGCAAAGGAAAAATGATACTTGTGTTTAATGTTCTGTCTCCTGAGACCTAGTTACGGGGAGTGACTGCCGATCACCACGGCTATGTCTACGCTGCAGGCTCTTGTGCAGGTATGGTTGGTCTTGCACAGAAACGTGCCGGTCTAGACTGCACCTTCTTGCACAAGTGAATTTACAGTCTAGCGTCGGAAAACAGGGCTTCTTCGGGAAGAGTTATCCCTCACCCCACAAGGAATAACCCCTCTTGCGCAAGAGCTCTCCCACGAGAAGGCAGTGTAGACAGGCAACATGAATTTCTTGCGCTAGAAGCCCCTATGGCTACAATGGCCATCAGAGCTTTCTTGCACAAGAGAGCGTCCACACTGCCATGGACGCTCGTGTACAAAAGCACATGGCCGTGTAGAAGTGCTCTTGTGGAAGACCTTTTGCACTAGAACTCTTGTGCAAAACACTTCTTGAGTGTAGACTAGTCTAAGGGGCTTCTCCCCTAAGTCCAGCAAGCCCTGGGTTACAGCCGAGGCTGCCTGTGAATTGAGTCCCTCTGGCTGTGGACTTGTTGGGAGACAAAACCCCGCCCAGAATTGTTCCCCCTTTCATCACCCAGGCCGGGTGGTTGGAAATTGCCTTTTGGAGGGAGCTGCACAAAGTCCCTTGAGGTCGTTGGTTGCTGCGTTTCCAAACCCAGCCCTAGCGGCATGATGGGGAAAAAGTAACAGGCTACCACTTGGCTTTTCCCAAAGGGCCTCACAGAGCCCCACCCCCACCCCCTCTTCCATCTAACTCCCTTGGGCCTTTGAACATTCCAACCCCAATATTCCAGATGGTCTTTCATCCGACTGAATGAGACCCAGAAAAAACACACCAGCACGTGTGCATGGAGGGCGAGTAGCCCTGTGGTGCCTTAGGCTGCGTCTACACTACCAGTTTTCTCTGCCAAAAATATGCTAATGAGGGATTCATTTGCATGAGTCATGATCTCATTTGCATAGGTTCTTCCAATCTGTTTTGTTTTTGCTAGGATTGTTGTGCAAAAACAAGCAGCATGAACATTTTTTTTTTTGCGCAAAAACCCCCTTTTCCCCCAAGATGCTCATGCCCCAAAAAAGGAGGTTTACTGATCTTGTGGGGAAAGGGGTTTTTTTGAGCAAAAAGAAAACACCCACACTGCTTGTTTTTGCATAAAAAAACGTAGCGAAAAATTGGATGGGCAGAAAATATGCAAATGAGAATTGACTATGCAAATGAGCCCCTCATTAGCATATCTTTTGCTGAGAAAACTTGTAGTGTAGACCTGGCAGAGACTAACGAAAAGAGATGAAAAGTCTCAGAGGGGAGCCGTGCTCGCCTGTAACAGAAAAAACGTAAACACCCCAGAATGATGCTGCAGCACCTAAGGTGGGGTCTACACGCAGCCTTATTTCGGAATAGCCGAGAGCGCGTCTACACGGAGCCTTATTTCGGATTAATGCTGAGCTGGCGGATTTCTGACTCCGACTCTGGCAACTCTCATTTCAGGAGCAGAGAGGGAAGAGGGGTGAGGGGGGGGGGCTCCTCTTTCCACTCCCCGCTGTGCAGACAGCGCCAAAAGCCGACTGAAGCTATTTCCACTTCAGCCAGGCGATTGAAGGAGCTCAGGTTGGGTGGCTGAACTCGACTTTAGCCCGGCTGTGGAGACGCGCCCTAAATTAGAGACGAAGCAAACATGAAGATGGGATCAGGAGCTTTCTGGGCACAACCCACTTCAGATGAATGGAGTCATTAAAGGTCCAGTTTCTAAATAAATAGGGGATGAAGGGAGGGAGCGGGAGAGAAGGAAAAGGAATATGCACTGCACTGCACACCTGATTGGCCGGGGACTCATTAATGGATCTCAAAGTCACCATACAGCCTCTCCCCGAGTTATGAACAAGTTGGCCGTAACTCGAAGTGTTCGTAACTCGGACCCCACAGAGTTACATAGCAACAGCGCTGTTCGTAAGCGTAGATTGCATTCGTAATTCGGGGACCGCATTTACGACTGAAGCGGCCA